TTCTGCACAAGCAATTCTTTTATGTATCACTTTTGAAGTAAAACTGTGTTGTATACAGAATTTTAAGTTAGTGGGTCCTGAGAAAAAGTCTTATGTAGTTCTTATCATTGTACCTCTAATACAAAAGTTGTTTTTCTCCTTTTCCTTCATCTTCTTTCAAGATTTTCTTAGATTTTGTTCATTTGAATATGATAGGCCTGCATATAGATATTTCAGTGTTTTCCCTGTCTCTGAGCTTTCTGCATCTATATTTAGGATTTGTCTTTCACTTTCGATAATTCTCTGTCAATTTTACTTCCAATATTTTCTTTTATTTTCCTTGTTTTATGTGAATATCCATGGGTGATACTGTTGGCAATTGCCCTATAGTTTTTTTTTTCAAAATTTTATTGATAAACAGATAGCAATGAGACAATTTCAAATCAAATCGGAAGTACAGATTCAACAAATAACACACTACATATATTCTTCTTAGTGGTTAATTGCTGTACAAGATGCGGACTTGAGATCCTATTTACAAACACCATTAGAACAAATCATTCTATTCATTAAGAGAATGCAACTATGTATCTATCCTAACCACTTTGAATACACAGATACAAAATGGACATTCATCTGTCTACCCCATTTTTTCTAAGTTCCGTTATTGAATATTACAGGTGTGTAAACTCAGCAAAATATTTTAAAAGAGTCCAGTAGCCCATAATAGCATTGGGTCTTCTGTTCAACTGGCAATGTCAGAAATTATTGACCTGAGTCCCCCACAGCTCAACATAGCAGCATGGCTTTACTTCCTATATTTCGTGTTCATACTTTTCTACTGGATGGTTAAGACCAAGGTAATGCCCTATAGTTCTTGAATTTTTATTCCATCTTAAGTTGTTTTCTTTGTAAATTTTAGTGGTTCCATTTTACATTGACACATCTTAAAGTGTGCTGAGTTTTTGTTAGTGCCAGGTGTGGAAGCCAGGGTCTCACACATAGTAGACAAGGCCCCTCTCAGTGAGCCACACCCCTGAGCTCACTGATTCTTCCTTCAACCTTGTCCAGTGTACTGATAAACCCATTAAAGGTTTACTTTGTGCTACAATGTTTAATGTTTCTAACATTTTCTTTGAATCTTTTCTTTTAAGTTATCATTTTTCTGCTCATGGTAACTATATTTTTATCATAATTATTTTAAATTCTTGTTTTTTGAGTATTACTAGTCTATATTGCCAGATTAAATTTTCTTCCAGAAATATTTTAATAAAAATTGGCCAGTTCCAAGAGACACCCACTGCATGCCCATCAATAAAAGAGAGCCGTAACAAAATAAGAAATTCATCGTATGACTATGATTTACAGAAAAAGAAACTGCGGACACTTGAGCACATCAGTTAAGTCCAACGTTAAAGTCACATTCTTTCTTATGCACTATGATTGGGAATCTGATTAGATACCAAAATAAAACTTAATACAGTCGCTCAGCTATTTAGGTCAGAGAACCTCTACAGAAACATCTGTTCTGAGAGGCATTTCAGTTTGAGACTCAATTTAGAATAAGGCATAACAAATAGTGTTTGGACAGGATATCATGTCTGCATCCTGTACTGTGAATAACCACTACGAAGATAATAATATGCATTGTATTAATTATTGTAACTGTCCTACTAACCTGTTTTGAAACTGTCTCATTGCTATTTGTTTTTCAATAAAATTAAAAAAAATGTCAGACAAGGTGAAGAAAGAGGGAGTCTACAGTTCCTTGAATCTCTGAACCTAATAAAACAAATCTAGATTTATTTTTCTTTTAAACAATTGCCAAGAGTGGAATCTCAGGTAAATAGAAGGCACAGCAGTTTTGCTCTAGTTGTTACTCAGATGAGGGTTTAGTATTTTTTTTTCATTTTTTAAACAAATACAAATGAAAAATTCTACTTCAAAAAAATCTTAATAATTGAAGAAAAGCCTATCACTTGCATTCTAGACATTCAAACCTATCTTACAATTTAAATTTCAGTAATAAAAACTGTAGGTTTTAGAACTGCTTTGTGATCAATATCAAATGAAAAGTTCTATTAACAATGTTTATTCAGTTTCTAACCATATCAGTGAGAATAGCTTTTCAGATTTTCCATATGACCATTTTTCAACATCAGAAGAGTCATGACTTGCAAAGAAACAGTTTGGATATTTTCCTGTCTCCAAAATGTTTATCAAATCCTGTACTTCTCACAGGCTTTTGAAACATGTAAAAAATAAGTAAGAAATATTCCAGTGAATGAAACATACCAAATGTCAGTAATAAGTGACACATTCCTTTGGGGAAATGGCTGTTTAAAAAAAATCCCATCTGTATATGCAAAGTGAGCAGGGAAAGTCAGTCTTTTTTCTTCTTTAAAAATCTGTTACTCCTAAAAAAATCATTCCACAAAATTGGAAATAAAGAACTGAATGGCCAAGAGAAAGAGGAAAAAGGAAGGGGGCAAACACCATTAACACAAAAGAAGGAAAATTGTACAAACTGAAGCAGTTTATAACAGACTGGGATCACAATCCCAGCCACCAAAGGCTAACTGAAGAAATTAACCGGTCCACAGTAGCTGGGTTCTCTTAGTGGAGATGGGTGAAGAGTAATTGCCTGCTGCAGAGCAACCCCCCTTCCTACTCCAAAGCCAGGCTTCTGCACCATCCCTCCATGGTGAGGGCCTCTCATGCCACTGCCCAGCCCACCTTGGCAGGCCTCCAGGTCCCTGCAGGCTGTTGTCTTGATGGTTCCCTTCCCTGACAGCACAGTCTTCTCTTCCACATTCAGACGGACTTCACATCTGAACATGATGGGCCTGTTACTAAGGACCTTCTGCATAGGCTCAGAATCATTGAACACGACAAAGCCAAAATTGGGTAGCTTCCTGCTGTTTATGTGCAGCTCCACCACATTCCCATAGTTTTGAAAGAAATCTTTGAGTTTTGATTTGTCCATTTCATGAGGCAGGTTCCCAATGAAAAGCTGGTGGCTGTCAGAATGTCTCACAGTTCTCCGAGGTTCAACATCGTCTTGCTCCCCAGCTTCATGAATTGGTCTGGGTCCCCTCTGGGGAGGAATATTTATTTGTTGTTCTCTCACTCTTTGGTCTCTCTGGGGCCTCTGCGGTGGAATCTGAGATTCAGGTTTAGATTCTGCCTGGGGCTGTGATGCTGGTACTTTCACATTGTGAGGAGATAGCCCAGTAACAGGAACAACTCCACTTGGAGGAAGGTTCTTACTGGTCACAGATGCCCAAGAAAATGTCCTCAAATCTTCCTGTACTGTCTGAGCTATGTCTGTAGGTGCTAGAGAAGAACTCTTCTGAGCATCCTCAGGAGTAGCTTCTTCTAAAACAGGTTCAGACTTTTCTTCTTGGATTTCAGATTCAGGCTCTTACTCTGGTTCTGGTTCAGAATTAGGCTCAGGTTCAGCAGCGGATTCCTCTAAATATTCTTCCAGGTCATTGCTGACAGTTTGATCATAGAAAGTACCAGAATCATCAGGTTTAGACTCAGGTGTCTGTTGTCTTTTCTTCAGGCTTTTCTACTACTTCCTCAGATTCCTGCTGAGGCTCAGTGACAAAGCCACCAAAGACCTCATCTTGGTATCTGAAGATATCATTGTGAACATAGAATTTATTTGCAACCGAACCCTCAGGAGCAAGGACAAATGTCTGCATGAACCTCCATAAAGCCTGGTTGTTCTTAGAGAGCAGCCCGATGACCTGGACCACCACACCATCATTTGGGGTAGCATGTGCATCGATGTGGCGGGTCTTGGTGTGGCAGTTGGTGAAGTTTCATGACATCACTTTCCTATGAATTTCTTTCTGTCCCTAGACTACATCTGCAGGTTTTCCATTTGAATCCCATCTCCTGTGAACATAGGAAGAGGTCTTTCCATAAAATTGATGCAACATGTCCGGGGCCTGGTTCATCAGGGTGTAATACTGTCTCACAAATTCCTGCCTGAACAGCAGGGGACTGGGCTTCTCCATAACCATTGCTTTGGTTAATTCAACCTGCGTGGCTGAGCGGGCATGAAACAAGCTCTGCCGCACGGCTCGGAAGGTGACAGAAATGTCTCATGCAAGCATGTCTGCCTAAATTCGTGTTTTTATAATTTCACAATTTTTGCATTGTCTGAATTTGTTTCTGATGTTTGTTCATTTTTTTTACAATGTGTCTTTGCTAACTTTTTTTTTAATTTTTTTATTATTTATTTGTGTGTGTGTGTGTGTGTGTGTGTGTGGCCAGGTCAGCCCACCAGGGGGCGGGGCTGGCTGGCATGTGGTGCTGGGGGATTGAACCGTGGTCCCTGTGCTTTGCTAAGCTTGTTCTAAGTAGGTGCTTTAGACCACTGAGCCATCTCACCAGCCCCTTTGCTAACTTTTTGTTGTTGAAAAAGCAGATATATTTTGGGTAAAGAAACTGAGGTAAATAGGTCTTCTGTGTGAGATTTTGTGTTTGCCTGGTCAGGACTTAGGTTGTACTTAATTTGCTGTTCCTTTAGGCAGAGGTTAAGATTTTCTCTGGCATCCTTGTTTTGTATTTGGATTTCCTTAGTGATTTCTTTTTAAATATTCTAAGATGGCAGTTCTTCCGCTTGTAATGCCCTTCTGTGTTGACTGCAGCAACAGGCTTTAGCTACTGGGTTTGTGCTGTGGTAAGCTCTGGTTTTCTGTATTGACTTCCATCCACTCCTGAAGCCTTTTTCTCTCTGACTTTAGTTCTATGTTGGATCTAAGAAGAATGATCACTTGTTGATGTTTTTGTTATTTATTGTAAGATGAGTATGAGAACTTCCAATCTTCTTACATGTTGGACTAGAAACTGGAAGCCTTGGGTCAGTCACTTGTAATCTCCATAAGGGGTAGTGTACTAGTAGTGGCTAAATGCTTTTTTAATTCTAGAATCTTGTTGAACTTGTAATCACTGACTTTCAGAAATGACTATGCACATCTGTGAAACTTGTTATTGTTCTTCTGCAGGCAGACCTCCAGGTGGACAAAGAGAGACACAATTTCTTTGAATCTTCCCTTGATTATGTTTATCAAATCCAGGAAGTTCAAGAGTCCAAGAAATTCAATATTGTGGAGCCAGTAAGTTCTCCCTGCTGTTGTGCACTATACAAGTATTTCCCAAATGCTAGGTGAATGTGAAGAGCTTTGATTATAATATTGGAATCTCAGTGAAGACAATGGATAGTCAATGCTCTGTCATGAATGTCAAGGACACATGTCACACTGACCTATGTTTTTCTTTTTCTTTCACTAATCTATCCACTCTGGCTCTTTCCTCTTTCTTTGATTTTTCTCTTTACCTTTTCTATTCTCTTGTCTTTCCTTGTGGCCCTCCCTCAATATCTCTTCCACTCATCCTATTACCTGGCTCCTCTCCCTTCCTTACTTTCATGCTTCCAGTAAGCTTTAGAAAGTACCTATCGTATTCTATGTACTGTGCTGAGAGCCCATGTCCCTGGCAGTCAAAGAATTTATACTGTATTGTTTTAATTCCTATTGCATTTAATTATTTTCCATTTAATCTTCTTATTTTATTATAAAAGATAATATGCTTTGTTTGACAGATATGCTGAATCTCTATAACTTTTATTATAAAAACTGCACAAATTGTGGAAATGTTAGAAAAATGTGTAGATTAAACAATACAGAAACAATATATCCCTTAGAAAAATAATTACTGCTAACATTCTAGCACTTTCACTTCCAAATTTTCTTTGTATATCATTCATATCATATTTCCTCCTTTATTTATGTGCGTGTGTACTTATTTTTTTATGAGCAGAATATATTTATTGAGAGAAAGAAAGCTCCTGTCCCGAGAGAGGGTCAGGAGGGGAAAATTATCTCATTTTCTTTTTTTTTGGCAGAACTGGGGATTAAACTCAGGCCTTTGTGCTTACCAGGCAAGCGCTTATTCTACTGAGCTATCTCTCCAGCCATGCATGTGTACTTATACTTGTGGATATATAACACAGGTGTGCACGATTACATGTAGAACATGACTATCTGTGTACATGTGTGTCAGTGCTCATATTTGTATAAATATGTATATATATGTGTACTGACAAGTATTTCTTCATTACTCAGGCACTGTGCTAAACACTGTTTATATTATCATGAACAAGAAAGGCTTTATTTATGAAGACTGTACTTTCATGGGGTAGACAGAAAGAAAAGAAGGAATAGCAAATAAATATAATTTCAAATTGTGTGATGAAAAGAGCAAAACAAATGATGCTGGAAAAACTGGCTCTCGATATGCCAAAAACTCAAACTTGACCCAGGTCTATCACCATGCACTAAACTAAAGTCAAAGTGGATTAAAGATATAAACATTAAAACAGAAACACTAAATCTCCTGGAAGAGAAAGTGGGAGGAACTCTTGAAGACATAGGGGTAGACAAAGAGTTCATGAACAAAAATCAAATGGCATGGGTAATACTTGAAAGAATTAACAACTGGGACCTCCTCTTATTGAGAAGTTTTTGCATGTCAAAAGAAATTACCACCAAAGTGAAAAGACAACCCACAAATTGGGAAAAAATCTTAACTAATAAGCAGGCAAAGGTCTTCTTTCGAGAATTTATAAAGAACTAAAAAACATTAGGGCTCCAAAATTTAAAGACCCAGTCCAGAAATGGGCATCCGAGATGAACACACACTTCTCAGAGGATGAAATTATAGAAGTGAATAAATATATTAAAAAAATGCTCCACATCACTAACCATCCATGAAATGCAGCTTAAAACAACACAAATACTCTCTCACCACAGAAAGAATGGCTATCATAAAGAAATCAACGATCAACAAATATTGGAGAGGCTGTGAGGAAAAAGGAACCCTTCTTTACTGTTGGTAGGAATGTAGACTGATGCAACCATTATGGAAATCACTGTGGAGATTCCTTAAAAACCTAGGACTGGAAATTTCATTCAAACCAGCTATCCCCCTACTGGGAATTTTCCCTGAGGAACTCAAAACATCATATCACAGTGGTATATGCGCACCTATGTTTATAGGAGCACAATTTGTGATAGCCAAATCTTGGAAACAGCCAAAGTGCCCATCACCTGATGAATGGATGAAAAAGATGTGATATTTTTATGCAATGGAATATTACTCAGCTATAAAGAATGATAAACTCTAAATGAATTTGTCAAGGAATACCTTAGAAATGCCATTTAAGATGAGATCTGAAGGGGGATGTGGTTATAGCTCAGTGGTTCAGAGCCTGCCATGGCAAGCACCAGGCCCTGAGTTTGATTCCTGTTACCAAAATAAAAAATTAAATAAAAACCCTCCATCTCCCAAAGCCTCTTAAAAAACCCTATGTTGCTGGGCATGTGGTGTATGCAAGTTTGAGGCCAGTTTTGGCTTACTTAGAGAGTTCAAGGACAGCCTAAACTACATACCAAGACCCTGTCTCAAAAACAAAATAAAATCAAATTTAAAGAAAGATATAAAGGAAGATGAGATGTGACTCTAGAAATAGGGAAGCATGTTCAGACACATAAAAACACAAGTACAAAAGCATAAGTTTGGAATGATTGTGCAAAGGAATACAAAGGTAATTCATGTGTTTTGATACTGGTGAAGGGATAGAATACCCAGAGGAAAGTTCGTGCTAGGAAGGCACAGGACTGGTGGATGTGGTAAAGATTTTTTTTTTAAGTAGTTCTTTGTTTTATTTTATTTTTTAAATTTTTTATTCAGGTTATTGAGGAAAAAAAAGATAAAATAGCAATGAAACAGTTTCAAAACAGGTTAATAGGACAGTTATAATAATACATTGCATATGGATGTGGTAAGGTGTTTTAGTTATAGTCTAAGTGTAGTGAAAAGCCTCTTAAATACTTGATATGGGCAGATCGATTATGTGGAGAAGAACTTCAAAGCAATCAAGAGTGTAAGTGAAGAAGCCTGGTGTGGGCTCTTGCAGTGGTCTAAGTACGAGGAGATAATGGCTTGCATTAGGGTAGTGGTAGAGGAAATGGTGAAGTAATGCTCGATTAGAGACATATTTTAGAAACAGGAACTACAGAAATTACTGATGAATGAACCAAAATATGAGTGAAAGAGAAGTCAGGGATGATTTTCTAGTTTTTGGCTTTAATGATGGATGAGACACTGTCTCTAGTACTTTTCTGACATTACTGAGACAAAATAGCCATGCCAACATGAAGCAAGGAAAGGTTTATTTAGCTCACAGTTAGTGGAGGTTTCACGTCGTAATCAGTTGACGCCAAGGCAGAGTGGCACATGGCAGAGGGCAGCAGCTCATGGTGGCAAAAAAAACAGCGAGAAATAGCCAGAGCAAAAAGGGAAGAGCAGAGGCAGAGTAAGCCTCTCTCCCTCCCTTATTTTATTTAGGCTCTCTGCCCCAGGACAGGTGTAGCACTCACATCCATAATCCCAGCTTTGGAGTACTAATCAATCACAAACTCTAGAAGCATGAACCCATGACTGCATGAGGCTTTGGGGGAACATCTACACACAAACTAGAAAGATGTAATTTCCTGAGATGGAGAAAGGTAGAAGAGAAGCAGGAAGCGTTGTGTATGACTTTAAGTTCAGTACACATATCCTCACTTGTGTAATAGCTTATACATTCTTGTGAACATTATATACTTTTGTATGTATTTATGTATACACTTTGTAATACACTTTGTGTGTGTTTGTACAAAGTGTGATAAAAATATGCTGAATGTTAAAATTCTAAAAAGAAGTACACATAGAATAAAAACACATCGCCACTAGTTCACCTCAGCGTAGCTGCCCTCTCTTTGCACACATTCATCTTATAAGTCTTACCACTTTTTGAAACAGTTCTGCAAGTCATCTTTTGTGTCTTTCCTTTGTGCTGTGCTGTATATCAAGGCTGCCTTGATGTGCTCAATCTATTCAAAGTGTTTAGCTTTTATGGTCATTTTGATAGTGGGGAAGAGTCAGAAGTTACAAGTTGCCTGATCTGGTGAATGATATGAATGAGGTCACCCCATAGTTGTGTCACAAACCTACCTTTCCATTGGATGGCACTTGGCTGTGACATTCACTGTATTTTATAAAGTCACTCAAGAAGGAGAACTTCCAGCCCTACTGTAGAAAGTTGCAAGAACAGTAGGATAAGTGTGTCCAAAGCAAGGTAGAGTATTTTGAGGGGAATTGCTGGCGATATGGCTTTTTTTTTATTTTATGGAAGGATCTACAGAGTGTTGAGGGTCTCACTACTAGATTGGACTCATAGTGATCTACCTGTCTACAGCCTTCCAAGAGCTGGGAGTACAGGCATGTGACACCATGCCCAATCTCAGTTGCCAATGCAATGTGCCCTGGGGGTGGGACCGGTACGGCAGGCAATCTGTCTTTTATTGTTATAATTTTAAAAAATAAACATTCACTTTATATATTTTAATCATGCCACATATGTGGTCACATATTTGCTTTCTGAAAAGAATGATGCGACTTTTACTACCACTTATATACTTTTCCAATGTGAAACTTTTATAGTAAAGTATTTATAATTTGATATATTGAAATCATTTTGTTTTGGTTTTATTTATGTGTGCTTTGTTGTTAATGGTGTTGATCATTTAGAAGTACATTATTGATCATTTGTATCTCTTACTCGGAAACCCCAAAACATTTCTGATTTGAAAATTTTTTCACACTCCTTTGATCTTCTGTTTTGTTATTCATTTGTTCCTCAAATATTTGTTGAGCAGCTACTATGGAACAACTGAAGATGTATAGGTTCTTTGTACTTTATCTGAAATGCTTGAACAGAAATGTTTGTAAAGTCACTCAAGTTTTTTAGAGTATTTGCACATACATAATAAAATATCTTGAGAATAAGCCCCAAGTCTAAGTAAGAAATTTTATTTTGGTTTTCTGTATACCTTGTAGCTTCAAAGTAATTTATACAATGCTTTACTGTGCCTGTATTTGCCAGAGACCTGTGTGAGGTCAGGCATGGAATTTTCCATTTGTGACATTGTGTTGTTGCTTTGAAAAATTTCAGATTTTGCAGCATTTTGGAATTCAGATTTTTGAATTCCAGATACTCATCCTGTAGAGCGAAGGTAGTCTGTTCCCTTCCCATCCAAATTAATGCCTATTTATGTCATCTGAAGATCTGAAGTGAATACATTTGTTGTTTATGTCTCAAAGTGAGTCCAATGTTAAAGTTTAAACTAATATGAGAATAGTTATTTATAGTCCTATATGTACATGACTTCTTTTAGCATTATGCTGAGTAAGCACTGTAGAGGTTTTTCTGAGTTCGTGGTTCCTTTATTTGAATAATTAGAAGATGCTGGTGATAAAATTATTTTTGCCTGTTTTCTTTAGGTCTTGGCCTTTCTTCATAGCCTCTTCATTTCCAACAGCTTGACTGTGGAGCTCACACAGGATTTCCTCCCATACAAACAGCAGCTCCAGCTCAGTTTGCAGAATGTGAGTTGCATGTGGTTTGTTTTTGTTTGTGTTTTAGTACCAGGAATCAAACTCAGGACCTTGCGCTTGCTAAGCAGCCACTGTGCTTCTCAGCTACATCTGGGCCCAGCATGTGGGTTTTGTCACTTGTATATCCAATTGAACTTTAACTCCTGTGGTATTAACTTTGGAATTCGGGGTTATTGCAGTTTATCAAGACATACTAGTGTGAGTCACAAATATGAGGCTAAGCAATAGCTTTGTGATCTAAGTGCCTGCCATGCTGAGCCTGGAATTGGACATCATGGCACATGGCTGTAATCCCAGCACTGGGGAGGCTGAGACAGGATCACTATGAGTCCCCGTTGCATCACAAGACCGTGTATCAAAAAAATTAAAAGAAAAAAAGTAACAAATATGTTAGCGAACTAGACTGTATTTGCTCTTCAACTTTCAACACTTCCCTCTTTTGGGCTGACCAGTACCTCAATCTAACCAATATTTATTAAGTGCTGCTAATGTGCTGTGCCTCTCCTATATGAGAATACAACTATAGGCTTGTTTAGGGCTTAACTTTTCTGGTCAGTCAAGGTATTCTCACTATGGGTTTCATCACCACAAATAATAATTTTGTCTTCTCTTTCTTGTTCTTAATGCTTATTAGTGCTAAATAAATTATTTTTAAAGGTCTTATCTACTCTTTCTCATTCTGGTTCTTCTAGAAAGGTAATTGGTAGAGCATTTCTGTATATTGGGACAAGTGTTGTGTGACTACATTCTTTTGATCATTCACTTATGCAATCCACATTTAATGAATGTTTCTGGGTACAGTGAGCATATGCTCTATGCTAGGCATTGTGAAAGGCACCAGGCATGTTGTAATGAGGCACATAAGATTTTGTATTTTAAAGGAACATGCAATTTGTTGGAGGGGACAAATGCATAAATGGGAATCGTTTTGATAAGTACCACAATAGAATCAAGACCCAAACTTTTAAAGACGCACAGAGATTATAACTATTCACTGCCTTCTAGACTCAGAGAAAAGCTGTTACTGAGGTCAGGTGACAATGGACTGGATATTCCATTGTCTGAAATTTATAGATGTATTTCTAGTTGAAAAATGATACAAAGTTGTAGTGGAAATAAGCCTTTTATTCTTTAGCAGGATTGTAATTTGAGTTTTTTTCCCCTTATGTAGACTTGCCTTTTTTCTAGGTAGTCTTATTCACTGAAAAATGAGAGCCTCTATCTTCTGCAGATTTATAGAATCCTCCTTAACAACCAAGTTAATCACTTGAGGCTTCTTCTGTATAGAACTTCACAAATATGTATGATAACAAGCCTTCATAGATTTGCTTTTTAGGTATTTGGTACAGGGTCTCACTATGCAGCTCTGACTCCTAGTGATCTTCCTGCTTTCAGCCTGCCCAGCACTGGGATTACAGGCATATGCCACCACACCTGATTTTGGGGTTCAGCATACCCATGGGTGGGCCAGTGTGGCATGTGGTGTACAGGGTCCTTGTGCTTTCCTAAGCAGGCACTTAGTCCGCTGAGCTATCTGCTCAGGCCACTTTTATAGGTTTTTGTGTGGCTGCCTCATTTGCAAGATCATAGCAAGCTCAGATCACCTTTTTAAAAAATCTGGCATAATGTATGGTCTTGAGACTAAGTTCTGTTAGCATGTTTACAGACAACATGCTTTCACATATCTTCATGTGGCCAGAACTTAATTCAAGGTGAGGTAAGGAGTAATTGTATTTGGAGAACATAGAAGCTGCCATGGAAATAGTGTCTCACTGTTAGTCTGGTACTGAAAATTCTATGCTTCTTTATTTATTGGAAACTTGCATGGTTCTCATTTAAAAATTATCTCCCATTTGTGGTTTTGTGAGTAAATATGTATTTTTGTATCAGGAATTGAGCTCAGGACCTTGCACTTGCCAGGCGGGTGCTGTGTCACTGAGCTATATCCCCAGCCTTTTATGATTATATTGCTATTTATATTTTTGTTTGCCCTGGTTAACACCACTAAACTCTGTAAAATTATTTAGTACTAGTTATTGTCATTAAACTCTATAAAATTATTTTCTGATCACATTATTCAGCATCTATCTATCTATCTATCTATCTATCTATCTATCTATCTTTTATTTATTTGAGTTGTAGCCCATAATGGAAGAAGAGAAAATTTTATACCTCATTTAAATAAATACTTCTTTATGGTGATTAAGTGATGATAATAATTATGATACTTATGTCTTGACAGACAAGAAATCATTTCTCCAGTACCCGGGAGGAGATGGAAGAACTTAAGAAAAGGATGAAAGAAGCTCCCCAGACGTGCAAACTTCCAGGACAGCCAACCATTGAAGGCTACCTTTATACCCAAGAGAAATGTGTGTGGGCACTCAGGGGTACACTGGGTTACAGTGGGCTGGCACCTTTATAAACTTTCGGTATCCATATCGTTCATAGAGCCTTAAAGCTACAACTACATGGAAGGCAGGGTAGGAATAACAAATATAAAAGAGAAGGAAAATTAAGGAGAATTTAAGGGTTTGTCTTTCCAGTGATAGAATGATAAGACCTATGGTGTTCATTGAGATTTGAAATGAGAATTACTAATTTTCTTTAATCCTTGTGATAACTGTTTAGGGTAAAAAGAAGGTAGAAAAGTGTTTATCATACCTATTGTGTTTCTAGCATAGAGTTGAGCTTAAAAGCCCAGTCTCAACTGTTGATTCTACCATATACCCATTTTACATATGGTACCACTGAGTCTCAATGAGGCTATCATATGAAAGACATCCAATTAACAAGTGACAAGCTATGGTTAAATTTAGGTGTGTGTAATGCCAGGCCTTATACTTCTGTCACTGCCCACTATATACCATTGTCTTCTTTAGGATCACATGGTTACTCTTAAAAGCACTGAAGGACCACAATGATTTCAGAGAGTAACACAGTATTTGTTGTTCATTGTTAAACAAGGAAAATAGGTTAACTCATCCAATCACCGCATGTTGTGGAAGAATGAAAATTTTCTACTTCTTAAATAACATGCAAACCTGCAGGCACTATTTGATTTTACTTTTGAGCTGTGACCCAGTGTAGTGAGCCCTTTATGGTCCTTGTATCGGTCCAAGTTTATATTTGTAATCCTAAGAGAGCCTCTTTTGATCCTTATATCAGTCCAAGTTTATATTTGTAGTCCCAAAATACATTATTGGAATCCCACCAAGTTCATTCCAATCTACCACTCCCAGTGCAACCCATGGTGAAAATAAAGACACTAAAGGATATTTATATTTATGGGGAGCCAAGGGGCCCTAAGTCCAGCCACAAAGATGGCTTTACAGAACAAAGAGGTGGCTGACCCAGGGCTGCACCCGGGTTTTATTCAGTTGGGGATGAGTGGCTTGAGGATGAATGACCTGACCGAGAATTGTAGGAAGTAGGTGAGTACTCTGAGTTGAGCTAAGTGGTCTGCATATACCTCTGTCATATGCAGAGAGACGGATATGCAGAAAAAGTATTTTGCATTATACTATTGAAATAGTATCTAATGTTTTGGAGTGTGTTGCTTCAGCTTTGATGTGTAATCTTTCAAGCCCCAGGAAGTCATAGCCTCTATCTCAAGGCTCAATCCCAGCTGGAGCACTGGCTGTTCATCCTGTCACATATTAAAGAACAGCAGGTGTGGGTTATCAGGGAAACATGCCTGCCACCTTCAGAGACTATCACCAGCACCTGGGCTAGACCAATATCCATTGCTTAAGGCCAATTGAAAGGATAAAGAGAAGTCCTAGCCAGCTCTGTACATATCAATACAAGAAAATAGGGTCAGGCTCAGCCAAAATGGAAATGATTGCCCTTCTTTCAAAGAGAGCTGCTCAGGTGGTCCTCCACAACCCAGTACCCCAAACCTATGATTTCAGTCCCATCCGCATTATTTTACTTGAGAGGAGACAGAAGAAACACACCCAGACAGAGGCTACCAGTGCCAACACAATCACACTTTAGCAGTAATGTTACCATGCTTTTCTCCCCTTAGAACATTTGAATTTTCCTGTGTTTCAAAGATGTATTCCCTTTTTTGTCAGATTTTTATCTGTATCTTTTCATAGCAGATTTCCAGTTTCACCACTATTGAAATTTCAGCCTGGATTAATTATTTATTTGATAGGCTAGTACTATGCATGATAGTGTGTTTAGCAGTATCTGGCCTGTCTTTATTTTAATAGCACTCCTAGATGGAACAACCTGAAGTGTCTCCTGGGAGGCAAAATTGCTGATAGTTCAGCACCACTGCTTCATGCCATATGATGTTCTGTGCTGAAGTTTCTGAATTTATCAAATGTGTATGACTTTGCTGCTCAGCTGAATGTGTGTACACTGAGTACTCTAAATGCCATTTCTGCAAGACCCTCTGGAGTGCATGGGAGGTACTAAAAAAAGGAATTAGTTGAAGGTTTTGTCCTTAAGAAATTGGTGGTTAGCTGCAGGAGATAGACAAGTCTGTCAGTAAAATATGCAGAGCATTCTGATTTGGGTATGTATTTAAAGGAGGAAATAGTGCTTGAACTAGAACATTCGTATTGAAAGAGTTTGATAGGTAAAGGATTATGAGAATTTCAGGTGTGCCACTATGTAAATTAAAGGCACACAGGTATGTAGGACATAGTTTATTTGTAGGGTTTTGGTTTGCCAAGAAGAGTGAAAGATGGGACCTGTTTTCTTGATGTAGTTATTTGTAGTGGTTTATTCACTCTTAAGTGTGTACTACTCCGGGGCTATAAGTTGTATTCCTATTTGTTTGTTTGGGAAATGAAACTAACTCAGCAGGTCAGGGTATTAAAAGACAAAGCTAGGAAGGGAAGTTCTGGTCACATTATAAAGGGCTCTGAAGGCAGACTAAGGAGTATGGGACAATGGGAAAGCTATAGGTGGTTTAGACTAAGATGAACGATATAAATAGAGATATGTCTTTCTTCTGTTAAATTTTAATTTCTGTGAGTACATATTGGCAGTATACAGTCACTGCACTCCTCGTGGAGATTTGTTTCCCCAAAGCCTCATGCATCCAAAGGTGGGGTTTTTCAGAAGTGCCTGGACTTCAGGTTTGTGATTCTGGGACTAAATTATGGGATGCTGGGATTAAGGAACTGTGAGACTAAATTAGATTTCTGATTGGTTTGGCATAGTTCTGGGTGTGAATAATGGGAAGGCCCATCTTGTGTGTAAGTGGAACAGTCCAAAGGATGAGTACCCTCGAAGGGATAAAATGGAAAGCCAGGGTGCTGCTCACTGCTCTGCTTAATATTTTGAGTCTTATATTTAACAGGAGTGGTGATAGTAGACATCTGTATCTTGCTTCTGATTTCAGAGGGAAAACTTTCAGGCTTCCCCATTTGATAGGATGTTGCTTGTAGATTTGTCACGAATGCCTTTTATTAAGTTGAGAGAAATTCTTCTATACCTATTTCATTTAGGGAGTTTTTCATGAATGGATGATGATTTTTTTGGAGGCTTTTTGTATGTTTTGAAATGATCATCTGATTTTTTTTCACATGTTCTGTTTATGTGAAATATTTATTGATTTGCATTATGTTGAACTATCCTTGCCTCCCTGTGATAAATCCTGCTTGGCCATGATATATGTTCTTTTTACTGATTTGTTATGTTATCTGCCAGTATCTTGTTAAGAAGTTGTGTCTGTGTTCATTAAAGAAAGTGGCCCATAGCTCTCTTGTGGGGTTGGACCTTTGTTTGCTTTTTGATGCATGGCATTGGTAACTTTCAGGAATAACTTTGGGAGTACTTCTTCCCTTTCCTTTTTATTATACAGTTAGAGGACTATTGGCATTATATCTTCCTTGAAGTTCTTGTAGAATTCAGTGGTAAATCCATTGAATCCTGGGCTTTTTAGTGAATGCTTTTTTTGTTACTGTCTCAATTTTATGCATCGAGGATTATATCCATTTCTTCTGGATTCTCCAACTCATTGATCTGTAGGTTTTCAAAGTGGTTACTAGTAATCTTCTGGATTTCAGTGGCTTCCTTTGTGATTTAACCTTTTGTATTTCTAATTGCAATAATTTGGCAGGTTAGCCTGCCCTCCCTCCCCCCTCCCTCCCTTCTGCCCCACCCTGCCCCGCCCTGTCTCTGTGTCTGTCTGTCTGTCTGTCTGTCTGTCTCTCTTTCTTTCTTGACCAGCTGGAATCTTACTAGAATATTTTGTTCATTGATTTGAAGAATCAGGTCTTTTTTTAAAAAAGGGAATACAAAATAATGTTAATAGAAATGACATCGAATTTTACTAAACAAAATAGTACAAAGTCAACAGTATTTGTTGTATTGCATAGAGTTCTTTTCAAATTAGTTTAGACTACCGGATATATACATGGAAAAAAAGTTATAAGAAATTAAGAAGAGAGGGCTGGGGAGATGGCTCAGTAGAATAAGTGCTTCCCTGGCAAGCACAAGGGCCTGAGTTCAATCCCCAGTACTGCTCCCCCCCAAAAAAAAGAAGAAAAAATAAAAGAATATAAGAAGAGAAAAAAAATATTTAAACACTTAGGGGTTTTTATAGACCAGCAGATATCAGCAGTACAATTGTCCAAGTCATCTGGTATACATACATAGATATATTCCCTCCTCACCTTGTATGTCTTTCTCATCTCAGTATTTCCTTCCCTTTGAGCAGATTATTTCCCTTTTCCCAGTATCCATTGTACCTTTCAGATATTATGGAGAACAAGGTCTTTGATTCATTGATTCTTTGTATTATTTTAGCTTCAATTTCATCTTTGATCTTTATAAATTCTTTCATTCTACTAACTTCTTTTTTTTTTTTTTCATGATGTTTGGATCTGACACTTTATTGCTTTATTCTTTAAAGAATTGGTTCTGTTTTTTTTTTTTCAACAAATAATACACTGCATATATTATTCTTAGTGGTTAATTGCTGTACAA